GACTTATCCGCGGAACGAGAATGCTCTTCCACAAGCAAAATGTATGCTTTTGCACCCGCATTATCGGGAATAGTTGACTTAATGTTGTTGGCAATCGGCATTCGCATAAAGCTCAAACATAATCTGTTAGACCTGTCCCAAGCCTTACAATTTGATTTCTCAGCCTCACTGCTTTGATCATTAATGTCAGCAGGCTTTTCTTCAAGCAGAGCAAGTCAATATCCAAAATACCTAAATGGAAACTGACTTGCTCACGTCATTCAGAGTAATTCAAACCATTGAAGACAGTAACAGAAGAAGCTTGCGAATGAAGAGAGATAGCTGCACAATCATAAAAGCTCACTTAATTAATAGATTCAGAAAATCATTCATAACATATGTTGCCGGTCTCCTTTGGGTAAACACAACAATATTCATCATTATCATAAGTCGAATGTCATTCAACACTTAATGAGAAATTAAATAAACTTCGTCTAACATACGTAGTATCTTTGGATATCTACATACGCTCGACAACAGGATATTATATTTTCTCCTTAATGATTATTATTTATAGAACATTGATTCACCTTTGGGTAAATCCATAATTTCTAACAACCAACAAACTCATTATTTTATCTTAAATAATGACATTCTCAAGAGAACATAAAGTATATGACCAAACATTAGAAAATTAATCTGGCCACTTTGGTGACTAACAAATTAATTTTCTCTTAATGTCATATACAATCAATTGTAACAATAATATTATATGACCGAACATTAAAAACTAATTAGGCCACTTTGGTGACTAACAAATTAATTTTATCTTAATGTCATATAATGAAATAAGCATCACGGAACTCATATCATTATACCATAAAACAAATGCTTAACCATGAAATAACATGTGTGGGCCATTATTCCCATTAACAGAGATATATAACTCTTATAGTTTATGGACAAATTGAAATATTTCCAAACCTCACCATCATAAATTTGCTCACACAAGATTAGTTCAAATAGAATCAAGAGTGTTCAACATACAGTAGGCAATTGTAGAACAAATAATTCCTCATGCTTTGAAATTCGGGAGAATCGATGACAATATTGACACACAAAATGAGCGTCAATTCGTTGGCCCAACAAACAACGAAATTGATGAATTAAAGAGTCTACGAATTCCATATTCCAATAATTAACAAAGAAAATCCGCCCAGTTTAATTAACGGGGACCAATTTATCAGAAGACTGTCAAACATACGTTCAATACAATTCGTTCGGCAAAAAGGAAGGCTAGTGTTAAACAAAGGAGATCCACTAACTCTCTTATTAATCTGAAAAGGAATGATGGTAGTAGATGTGTGTCTGAGAAGGAAACTGTTGAGGAAATTAGTGGTTACTTAAAGAATCTTTTCACTTCCACTAATCCTATTGCTGATGATTGTAATCTTGAGGGCATCTCTGCTACTGTCACTGATGAGATGAATAACAAATTAATTGGAGAGGTTAGTGTGTGTGAGATTGAGAAAGCTTTAAAGGAGATGGATCCTTTGAAAGCTCCTGGGGTGGATGGTTGGAATGCTTCATTTCTCCAGAATTCTTAGGGTAGTATTAAAGAGGAATTGTGTTTGGCTGTGCAAAATTTTTTTCACAATGGTATTATGCCCAAATCTGTTAATCACACTGCTATTTCCCTGATTCCTAAGAAAAAAAACTCTGAAAAAGTTGAGGAATTTAGGCCCATTAGCTTGTGTTCTGTGGTGTATAAACTTATATCTAAGATTATTGCTAATAGACTCAAACTGGTTCTTCATGCTTGCATTTCTCCCACTCAATCTGCATTTGTGCCTGGTAGACAGTTAATTGATAATGCTGTGATTGCCAATGAATGTATACATTATCTTAATAGTAAAAGGAAAGGTAAAGACAGTTACATGGCTATTAAACTGGACATGTCCAAGGCTTATGATAGAGTTGAGTGGGATTTTCTTTACAGAGTTTGTAGCAAAATGGGCTTCCATGATAAGTTTATTGCCTGGATCATTGCTTGTACTTGTTCCTCTACTTTTTCTTTCAATGTGAATGGCCACCCCTTGGGATTTGTTCAGCCATCTAGAGGTCTTAGACAGGGGGACCCTCTGTCCCCCTATCTCTTCATTATCATTACAGAAGCCCTTTTTAATTTGATTAAGCAAGCCACCCTTAGGTCTGTGTTTCATGGCATTAGGATCAGCAAGCATGCTCCCATTATTTCTAACATTTTCTTTGCTGATAATTCTATTATATTCTGTAAAGCTACCAATTCCCAAGTTGTGCTTATCCTGAACATATTAGATGAATATGGTAGGGCTTCTAGTCAGTTGGTGAACATGGAGAAATCTTCAATTTTCTTCTCTAAAAATATCCCTCAGAATGCTATCTGTGAGATCTGCAATATCTTGAATGGTATCTCTAGGGTTCAGTCCTCCAGGTACTTGGGGCTGCCTTTGGGCATTGGAAAAAACAAGAGAGAAATATTCAGTTTTGTGAGTGAAAAAGTAAAACAAAGAGTGTGTAGCTGGAAAAATAGGTTCTTGAGTAAGGCAAGTAGAGAGGTTCTTATTAAGTCTATTCTAAATGCTCTTCCTACTTTTGTTATGTCATGCTTCAGAATCCTTGTTTCTGTTTGTAAGAATATTTGTGCTGAGATTGCTAGGTTTTGGTGGGGTCAGAGGGGGGAGGGTAACAGAAAAATTCATTGGACTAGCTGGGATAATTTGACTAAATCTAAGGATAGGGGTGGTTTAGGGTTTAGGAATCTTAGATTGTTTAATGAAGCCTTGATTGTGAAACAGTTATGGAGGTTGATAACCAAACCCAATTTGCTTGTGAGTAAAGTCTTGAAAGGAAAATATTTCTGGAACCAAAATCTTATGGATGTGTCTTGTAAAAATTCTTACTCCTGGCTGTGGAGGAGCTGGATGAAATTAAGCTAGAGAATCCCTGCAGTTAGGGATGAGATATAGAGTGGAAGATGGGAAGAATATCAAAATTTGGAACTCTCCCTGGCTACCATCACAGAGATCATTTAAACCTGACTGCCACTTTCACTCTGATAGAGTTAATCTGCAAAAGGTTGAGGATCTTATCATGAAAGAGACCTGAGAATGGGACATTGAATTAGTTCTTCAATCCTTCACACCACAAGATGTTGAGGCTATTCTCAAAATACCTCTAAGTCATAGTGGTCAAAAGGATAGGCTAATCTGGCACTGACATGCTAAATGGGAACTCACAGTGAAATCTGTCTATGATCATTTGATTTGGAGGGATGCACAGAAGGAGGCTGTTTCTAGTTCTTCAGAAATGCTCTGTAAGCAGATGTGGAAAACTACTTGGAATCTTCCTATTAAAAGCAAAGTGAAAAATTTTTTGTGGAGATGTTGGTTTGGGTTTTTAAGTATTGGGGTGAATTTACAAAAGAGAGGGATGGACTGGGATGTGTGGTTTCCGATTTGTGGAGAGGCGATGGAGGATATTGACCATGTGCTATTTCAATGTGGGAGAGCTAAGGCTTGTTGGAAGCTGGTGGGAATTGAGTGGCAGAATTTGAGCTCAAGAACAAGATCCTTTAAAAATGGTGGTTTGATATCTGTTCCAAAGGGTGCACTGTGAGCCTGTGTGATCCTTTGGAGTAGGGCAGGCTTTTCTAGCTGTCAGTGCTCTACATACCAGCTCTGGGACTTTGGGTCTGGGAGGGGGAGTTTTTGGAGAAGGGGTCCTAACACAGAGATGGGCTGAAACTACACAGTTCACAGACACTAAAGAAGAAGGCAAACTTCTAGCTGTTAGGTGGCTGATGGAGAGAGCTGTTCAAGCAAAATTTCAGGCCATTACATGTTGTGTTGATGATGAAAGATTAGCTACCAGATTGCAGAAAAAGGAACCCTTCAGCTGTGTGTATGGCATCATTGTAGATGACATCTATGCCTTGCTTCCTCTCTTTCAGAATTGTTCAATTATTTGTAATGCTTCTTTATATTCTATTTGTAAGACTTTAGCCAAAGTGGTTGTGAAGGGAAGATATAGTGTTATCTCCCCATGTGCTAGGATTCTAGTTGCTAGAATTTCTACATGTTTAGTCATCGGACTTACCGACTGTACTCTATTTGTTGAATTTTTATAATATTTATCTTTGTTTGTGAAAAAAAAAACATTCACATAAATTATCATACGATCGTACTCACTCATAATTCATACAACAAATTATTTATTCACAACACATGCTCTGATACCATATGTAAACATCATCATAGGATCTTGAATAAATAATTTGTGTATACGAAATACTTACTTGATGCGGAAGACGACATAATTAGTGATATTGATCTTGATGATCACACGAGGCTTAATCGATTGTGAGATCTAAATTAGTTTCTCCCTCCTGACAGTTCCTTAACGTAGCAGAAAAGTGATGGGATTATACTGCGTACCCTAATAGGAGGAGAGAGGACTAATTTATATTGAAGTGCTTTAGATCTGGTACGTCCATCAAATATCCAGATTAATGGCTTAGATCTGTTTAACCATTAATTAAAGACTAGCTCAATAGGATAATTAATTGTGAGCCCAATACTTTCGGGCCACACATTCTTACAGTTTTAGGTCTGCAGATGGCATACCATGCTCGGACCACTATGGAAGTTATTTCAAATGTATATATAGAGAAGAGGTAACATATTCAGTATAAACATATGTGCTCCAAATGTATGAAAATGGACATGGTTTTTAAATTCCCAACAGAATATATAAAATGTTTGTGCCGAGAAACCTGATCCATATTATGTTGATCATCAATTTATCAGTCATACGGTAAACCGGTTCGTGATGAAGGAACATAAAAGAGAAATAAATTGGAGTTAGTAAGTAATATTAGACATTCTCATTCCTTCCTTGATAGAATAAATTCGGCCATAGGCCTTTGGAGGATCAGATTTGATGTGCGAATTGTCTTGAAATGGGTTGAACACGCAATCTCCATGTACTCCTACCAACACGGAGCTCTGGTGACCTACAATGCGTTGGGAGGTGTCCCGGAGTAAACACTCAGATGCTCGAGTTAGTATGTAGCCTTAACTACCTATGGTAGCTTAGCCTCCAAGAGAGCTATATTTAGAAAAACGATCATCCCGTACCTTCTTTTCTAACTCACTACGTCTCTAAGATGAACAGACTTTTCTATTCTCTTATAACAAGATACAATTTTCATCAATGAAGGATTCTTTTCCCTTATAACACGCAGCTCTTTGGTTCCCAGGTCGTAACTATGACCTTTGTATGTTCCTACCGCTGGTGGTACCTAGGTCGCAACCATGACCCCCACATCACGACCTACGAGCCATGAGGTCTCATCGAGTATTCGATCTCCCTAGGTTCTCCGACCTCCGAGCTGCCCAAACTAGACTTTTATATTCTCTTAGTTGCCTAGATGAGCTCCTGACAGGAATATACATTTAAAATGGTATGAGATACACCTCCC